CTCGGCGCTGCCGGGGCCTCAACTAGGACCCCGCGGGGAACTTCTGCCGAGCACGTCCGAGACCTGCAGGGCCCAGCTTGCCCTACCCGCGGGGAGCCGGGCGCGCTTGTGCCCGCGGCTCGCCCCGCGCTGCCCTGGCAGGGGCCTCTCCGCCGCTGCAACAGGTTGCGCCCCTGCTCGCGGCGCCCGCGGCCGGCCTGGCAGCGCCGCTTACTTGGCGGGTTGTTTCGCTTCCCCTGCGGCCGGCGCCGCGGCTCAGACGCCTCCAGGTCGGTTCCGGGGCACGTTGTCAGCCAGAGCCTGGGCGCGGAGCTGCGAGTCGCAAGCGATGTCTCTTATTCCCCAGTTGGAAGTTTCCCCGAGCTCAGCTGGCTGGTGCCGGGCATCCCCCCGGCAGATCGGGGCGCCGGTTGCAGTTAACCCTGTGGCAAAAGACTTGCATGATCTTGCCGCCCCCAAGATGTTACATACACCCTCCCCCCAGTGCACTTGCAGTGGTAACCTTCTGGTCGGTAAACTCGGCTAAGAAAACCTGTAGAACAGGGAACCAGGGAAGGAAAGTGTCGGCCCAGTGAGAAAATAGGAACAGGTTGTTGTTTTGTTCCTAAATGCAGCCGGCATGTATACATTGCCTTAACAATTCAAGGAGTGGATACAGCTTGTGAGAGATGAGCATGCTTCACCTCCAGTAGAAAGCCAGAGTTGTTCCCTGTTCCCACCATACCTAGCGGGGTGATCTGTAGAGAGAGAGTCCCCTTACTGAGAAACCTCTGATGATACAGCTCTGCACTATTGTAAAATATCTTGTCATAATATGTAGTGCATGTTGTTGTACTACCTTTGTGCTTGCTCCAAGGAGTGAATCAGTAGGAGATTTAAAGTTTTGAATGAAGGCCCTGTACTTACTGTTAAATCCCTCCTCTGGTTACACCCCCTCCCTCAATTATTGACATTTTCATTTTAAAATGAAATATATTTTCATTATGTACTTAGTCTGCAAAATTCCCATCCTTTTCCAGAAGGATTTTAATCCACACTTCTTGTTAACGACTTCTCTTGATGCTACTTTGGATGATATGTTTAATTTATGTATACAGTACTTCTGTTTATCAGCTTATGGGTGCTGATGGGATGATGTTATGAGTGCTGTTGGGGAAAAAGGGGTCTAGGTCTAGACATTTTTACATCTGTTTGAATCTTAATGTAGGTCTCCCCCCCCCCCCCC